AATGACATATATATGGCATTACGGGTAGTGTTTTGTGGGATGCGTTTGAGTCAACGGTATCTGCTTTTGCATCATTCGGTTGCCATCGCCGGCGAGTCGGAGGTAGAAGTCGGCGCTGACGGCCACCCCGTCGGCGTCCATCGTCAGGAAATACTGGTCTGTCGGAATCATTGACTTATTCTCGGCCGCCTTTGCGATGGCCGTCCCCTCGTCGTACTCGTCAAACATCGCCACATAACACGACGGGATGTCCAGCTCTCGTACGTTCACGAATTGACGCCACATGAAATCACCATGCTCACGCGGGATCTGATTGCGTACAGCCTTAGATTGCCAATTAGCCCACGTGAAACCCGGGAATAGAACCGGCTGAAAGTCTATAGATTTTGAACAATTTTAAGTCTATTGATTTACAATGATTTTGAACATTACACTCTGACTTGGGTTATGCATGTTTTAATAAATGAATACTGGTTAATAAATTGCAAAATAATTTTTGGATTGCAAAATGTTTTACTCCTTTTGTATTACTCCTATGAATGCAAATCTTGAAAACTAAAAATTATTTTTAAATTTATTTATTTGAATTGATCAGTAATCATTTGCTAAATGAATGATTTATGTTAAATATTCATAACCCAGAAAACGCATCTGAAATAGACCCTGATGTAATACTAACCTATGTTATGCTGCTTTAGTAGGCTGTGGTCGGCCTCCAATGTCGTCTTGTAATTCTCGGCCTCTTTGATGTTCCGCATGCGGCCGACAGTCCAGGGCTGCAACATATCGAGCTTCGTGTAGACGTCCTTCCAGGCGGTGGTGTCGGTGCGCCACTGGGTCTGCACACCGCCCGCCACATAGAGACCCTGTTGCTTGAAGTGCGCGATGAGGGCAATGGCGCCCTTCGTGTCCTGCGGTCTTTCGTTAAACCCGAAGCCCCAGATGCAGACCACGGGTTTACCGTTTTGGTGGGCGTAGGCCTTACTGGACAACAGGCGCTTGATGTTGTTGTCGTAGTCTTCGATGATTTCTGTCGCGAAGTTATTCCAATCGGTGATATCCCACATGATGTAAAACTTGCGGTCGTGAGCCTCGGCGGCCTCTCTGACGTTGTCGGCCACACCGTTCAAACTTTTCTGTTCGATTGGGTTGCGCTTAACGCCACTCGCGAACCGCTGAAGCGCCGCCGTATCGATGTTGTTCTGGTCGTGGGTTTAATTCAATCAATTCGTGCGGATATAGTGCGCAAATGCAGACCCTTTTGCAGCACAGAACAGACCACACTTCAAGGGACTGCAGGCCAGGGCAGGGTTTTTAAAGCGACTGACCGTAATTTACCTTTGACCTCTTGAGTGGGGTGGGGGTAAGAGTTGACCCAACAAAAAATGTCATACCAATATCTTATTACTAATACCTATACAGTAGTTCATTGCAATGCATTTGAATAAAAGCTATTTTCAAATGGAAACGTACGGGTCATGTGATTGTCGGCTTTATGTCATACACTCATTGATAAATAGCCAAACATAAGGCTATTCAAGCATATATAAGATCACCAGGATAGTCACCTCTTTCATCCATTTGAAGTGTGTGTCCACAGTCTGCTTATCCCACGACGAGAACAACTTAGCCGGCTGTCCATTACCGAGGTTCGCGTAACCCGTTTGGTAGGTATGCGTGTATTCCCGAGTGT